TTAAATTATTGATGAAATGCTTTGAAACTCATATTATAAGTATATATTAGAAGCTTAGACAAAATGATATGGTCAAAAAAGTAAGATTTTACGCGCATGCACGTGCGCTTCGCTTTGATTGGCTGAAACTAAAGTCTCAATATCTTTCTTGTTTCTTGCCATAATCCTTTGAAATTTTGAACATAGACCTACATTATGAAGATCTACAGCATGATGTATAAGAATTTTCATGAAAGCATGCGCATGCCCGTGTGCTGCAATCTGATTGGCTGAAACTTTAAATGGCTATATCTCCTTTGTTTTCTGACGAAATGCTTTGAAATTTAAAACATAGTCATGCATTAGGATATCCTACAATATGATATAGAAAAAAATCATGAAATCACGCGCATGCACATGCGCTGCAATCTGATTGGCTTAAACTTGAAATGGCTAAAACTCCCTTGTTTTTCAACCAAACAGGATGGGATTTAGAACATAGATAGATATAAGGGACTCCTACAGGAAGGTATGGTCATCATACACGTGCACGCACGTGCGTGCATTTGGAACGAGTGAAATAAAAATACATTTGAAAGAGTGATTTTTCATCCTTTTGGACCGAATGCTTTAATATATTGTATATTTAAATATGTAGATAGTGTAGACAAGATGATATGATTATAACGCACATTCATTAACATGCGCACGGGTGCAATGCTAAAATTTGAATATAATTGGTATCCTTCTGAGAAAACGTTGTTAAAGTCAAAAATGCACAGAGTTTGTCTTATTTAATTAAGCTTACAGGGAATATGGCACAAAAAAGGAGTTGGGGAGCGTTTGGGGAACATCTGTAACGGTTCCCGTTACAATTAGCACTAGTTTTCTTTGTTTTACACAAAATGCTTGTGAAGTAGTTCCGTGGGGCTCCAGAAAGGACAATTATTCATTGGTTTGTTGAGATCACGTGACCATTATAGAAGGTTTTATATATGAGCAGCGAAAACCAGTTTCAGAAAAATAAGGATCATAACAATCAGACCATATTACGTCATCAACATCACTGACTGTAAATTACTAGCGACTTAGGTGTGAGAAAACAAAGTAAACTAGTACAAATTAAGTAGTTTATTATTTTTCCACTGCAAGGACACCGCATTCCACTGTATTTTATTAGGCCAGAGATGTTAAGCTTGGACTTTATTTACTTATATATGTATTGACTGTTTTATTAAATTTCATTGAACTTTGAAAACTTTATTAAATGAAATATTTGAAAAAACGAAAAATGGAACTTGGTTATGATTTACAGGAATGTGAAGTAAATTATCAAGGGTGTTTAAATAAATGCTACGGACTGAGGATCCCCCCGCTTTTAATATGTGTACGGATGTCATGAGTAGTCCTGATTAAAGTTATTTAATAGAATTTACACGGGAAGGAAACACTGTAAGCTGATTGGCATTTGACAGGGTGCCGAGGAAGCTTACAATAGTCAGATAGATCAAAATCAATAGGACTCGCTGAGGATGTTTTGTCAGAGTGTGTACCAGAGCTGTCTAGAGATAGCACAAATTCTTAATGATGCCGAAGCAAGATTTGTACTTGCAGACAGAGTTATCAGGTTGTTTGTAGGATTGATAACTTGCATAAAGTGAACTTCATTGTTGAGTGTATCAATCAAGCATTTGGCTCCTCCTGCCAAACCTAATTCAAGAAGATGTTGTGATGGTTCCATTAAGACATTAGTACATTTCAATTAAGTTGAAAAGAAGACTTCAATTGCCATGAAACAACCAGGATTGATAGTGACTTACTTGGAAACTCTAGCAACTCCTGAATTAATGTCAATTTCAAAGAATTTATTGGAAACAGGGTCCCTGAGGGAAAGGGTATTTTGTGCAACACTAAGAACAGCATCATTTTCTTATATATACCTTCATCCCCTGCATACGGAGTATATATATCTCAGTTGATTCCATACGCAAGAGCTGATGAATAGGAAATGAGAGTTCTGCATCATGAGGGACGAGGGACGGAATCGAGGGACGGGGTGTATTTTTAGAAAGGGGGATTTCCGTGATCGATATACCTGTCATGCAATATCTATTTTTAGAAATGCTTTAAAATGTATTCAGTTAAATGAGTGGCTTCGATTTGTAGATGGAGTATTTATCTACCTGCCTAATCGTATTGTCTATGTACAAAAAAAATATCTGCTATAAATAATTAAATGGGAAAAACCCAGTGTATATCCTAAAAGTATATATAAGAGACGTTCTCTATATCATTCTTACAGTGTTTACAAATATTATGGAGTGGAAAGAGTATTTAAAATCTATTTACTTCGATTTGGAAAACCCCGTAAGCTATTCGGGTCCAACAAAGATTCATCGTTATCTCAAAAAAGAGGGAAAATATAAAGTTGGGTTGTCAGCCATAAAGCAATGGCTTCAAGACATCGATGCTTACAGTCTCCAGCGCCCGCAGAGGTACAAGTTTAAAACAAACAGAGTGATTTCGCAAGGAATAGACTTTCTTTGGGATGCAGATTTAGCAGATGTAAGTTCCATTACCAAAGAAAATGACGACTTGAAATTTCTGCTTGTTACAATTGATGATTTTTCTCGGTATGCTTGGGTTAGACCTTTGAAGAATAAGAAACATGAAAGTATAATCGATGCTCTGAAAGATATATTAGAAGAAGGTAGAATTCCTTCTGAACTTCGGACGGATAAAGGATCAGAGTGGATCAATAGATGGACCAAGCAGTATCTAAAGAGGAAAGACGTACACCATTTCGCCACGCAAAATGTCACCCATGCTAATTATGCAGAGAGGTTTATCAGGACATTGAAAGTCATGATGTACCGGTACTTCACACATAATCGCACATACAGATACGTTGAAGTTTTACAAGACATCGTTCGAAATTATAACAACCGACCGCACAGATCCCTGAATGGTCTATCTCCAAGCGATGTGAACAAAACAAATGAAGTTATCCTGTGGAAGAAACTGTATGTGGATGTGTTGAAACCCACTGTGGTGCGAAAGAAAAATTATAAACCACATAAACGATTCAAATTTAAAGTGGGTGACTATGTCAGATTGTCGGGAATAAAGCACACTTTCCAGAGAGACTACGAACAAAAATGGACCGAGGAAGTCTTTATTGTCAACAGAAAATTTTTACGTCAAAGTGAAGAGGATGACGACAGCGGATTCTCTTCCCTAGTCAAGTATGGGAGGAAAATCAATCTCAGTTTGACAAAAATTATTATCAGCTCATGGAAGAAAATTCCAACCTCTCCAAAACGGAAGCTCGAGAGGAAGTAAGTGAAATGATGTTACCCAAAGAAAGGAACTTCCTCCTTAACAAGTATAAAAGAATTCTGTTAATTTTTGCGAAATTGAATCGAAGCAAGCTTCACCGCGACATCAACAAAGAAGTATCAACCCTCATGGAGAAAAAGGATATAGATCTGGAAAGGGCAATTTCCCGTGTTCTAAATAAAAATCGACAAGAGTTTGATCAGCTGTTGGAGGCTGACGATAGCGTTTACCAGGACAATACCGAAGAAGAGTCTAGCGACGAGGAAATGGATGAATAATTTATACAAGTGATTTAACATTATGAAACAAGAAAACAAAATCCATGTTTTAAGTTCAATTCTTTATTATCAAATTGACATGTTAAATGATGACAATGTTTTTACATATTATGTAACAAATTGAATCATAAACAAAAATGTACATTAAAATCAATAAATCTGACAAAATAAGAATTGTCTTGTTATACTTGTATATACTATTTCCAGTATTCATGGCCTTACGCATGAGTATCAAATGGTGTGATTTTGTAATGACCATGAGCGAAGGTGTGAATACCAGAGTCTAGAACGAACCGTTTGTCATCGTATGGACTTAGTGTTGTTTTACAAACAGATACAGAAAACAACTGATGGTTGTAACTTCTAATCAAGTTCATTGAATGACGCATGGAGCAATGATCAAAAAGGGCTTGCTTGTAAGCCTGATGTTTTAATTGTCTGTCAATTACAGATTTTTTACTCCTTTAGCCATCTTCTTCTCTACGCCATCATACAACAAACTGTACATCTTAGGTCTGAGACCAATGAATGAGGTTTCCCTCCACACTTATCCTTCATTTTACCGAGAACCTTACAGTTGGTTTTGGAGAAAAGAAAGTGAGTTTTCTCGAAGTTACTGGTGTCAACAAGATTTTTATGAGTAAATATATCTTGATAAATGTCTTCTGTTTGGATTTCATAGCAAAGGCTATCTGTATCTGTAAACAAAAGACTAGCCTTTTCCCCGTAGGTAGATTTTACAAAGACATAGTGAAACTCGAACATGAGCAGCTTAGCGAGGTCAAGAATACAAAAACCAGAATATATGGGGCGATTGAGAACAATGTTGTTTTTCCTAAGATTGACAGCCACTAGGTCTTCATTGAAGATCTTTAAAGACTGAAAGTTGGGCTTCGCACATACTTTACGCAATCTCTTTTTGGTGTGCACCAGTTCCACATTCACTCTCTTTCTCATGTTCTCCATGGTTTTCCCAAAGACAGAATTATTCATGAGCTTATAAAAATCTTTCTCGAAATCTGTTGTAGCCTGAGACCTCCTATGTGTATTAAAATCAATGTATGATTTCAACCAAGGAGACTGGGTAAATTCTAGAACCCTGTGGATTTTGGATAATACAAGACCTTTTGACAAATAGTATTTTAGATTTCGATAATGAAGAACGTACTTTTCTTTATCACTGAGGTTAGGTACGAGTTTTAGGGCACTTCCTTTAATGTTCAACTTTTCTTTGAGCATCAAACTATGAGGAGACAACATATAATCTGTAGTTTTGTTTTCAGGAGCAAGAGGATAATCACTATGTTCGTCATGTAGGGATTCTGGATATTTTAGATCCACTTCTAATATATACCCGGTGTCCGAGTCATCTGGGATATTCATGACATTTAAACTATCTATTTGTTATGGAGTGCACCAGGCAAAGTCTCTCTCGGGCAGGGGCATTGACATACTCGTACCGTAAAGGTTATTCATGTCTAGATAAGTAAGCCAGGTTTTCGGTTTTGAAGGATCAAAATCAGACACCATAGGGTTGTTGGCTTTGGCATATTTCTTCGAGATCATAGACACCCCTCCCCTAATTCCCTGCTCTATCATCAAGACCATATCGATATCGTCAAAGAGCTGTAACTTAACTTTTGTCATTTTCAACATGGCCTCCCATGCAAGACCAGGTGAAGTAAAGAAATGAGCGGGATCTAGATGATATGCATTCAGACATAAGTCTCTAAAATTCTTAAATACATCAGAGAGTAGTAAGACATCCGTTTTTAAGTATAAATCATGGTACTCCCCCATGTTTGTCATGTTAAAGGTTTCCCATACCTTTTCAGCGTGAACATAGTCACTCTCAGAAATATCAGATTCGGACAGTTTGTTGTAAAATGCTGTGACCGGAGGTAACTTTTGGTCGTAAAATCGATCCCAACAGGACATGTAATCATAGGGATAAACCCCTTTCCGTAGTAAGAGGTCTCTCTCAACTTCAGATAGAAAATGTCGGGATAGATTTTGAAATCTAGATCCCCCTTCTTTAGCTAAATTTGTAACTAAAGTGTCCAGAGAGGCATTCAGAAATTGGAGTGAATCAATAAAACGTAAATTATCGAGTGAAAAACTAATGTATTTCTCCATATTGTTTGGAATGCATGATATTTTCTTATCTTTTAATTTCCCAATGGCACTCATCATGTGGTGAAGGTCGTAATTGCGGCTGTTGTGCGCTATGACAGGAATGTAGAAATCCTTATTTTCTTTTCTAAATTGGAGCTGTAAGTTACACTGATTATGGGCAGCGCCTCTGTACTTTCCCGTTAAGTGATCATGATCTCTGACCCTATCCACCCCTAAGGGTTGTTCACAAATGTGGCAATTAGTGGCGTTTTTGAACGCATTTTCTTCTTCAACTGAGATGGACATGGGTATACTTTGGGAGAGTATTTTGCAGATTTCCTCTTCCTCTTTGATCAAACATTCAAAGAGGTGATCCATAGCATTGGCACCCCTATATAGATAAGCAGGTTTTGATTTACTATCATCAGAACATTTCACGTAATAGCAAAATCCGCAGGGTTCATGCTTTTGATAGGGAGTTGTTGAGGAATGAGTTTGGCTTGGACTACAAGATTGAATAGGAATAGTTAAACTTTCCAAGTCGAGATAAATGACAAAGGGCACCTTCAATTGTTTATTGACATGCTTGAATTGCACCCATTGATCATGTTCTGATTTTGGGAACGACAATCTCTGGGGACCGTGAGGAGAGCAATAGGGAACATGCTCATCTAATAAATCTTGTCTTGTAAACCCATGGAGACAGAAATTACAATAGAACGCTTCTCCATTGTGGCTTGTTCTATCTCCCATTAGCCTGCTCATGTTCCTGATAAGACAATAATGTCTTGTTATACCCTTTGAGAAAAGAAGCAAATTGACATGGTGGAACATATTTCTTGCCTCTGTTATGTGAAGGGGGAAAATTTCATTTTTCTCAAATCCAAACACGTTGACTGATATGTTGTTTTTCTTTTCGAATCGATTAATTTGAGACAGAGGTAAAGGGAAGTCTAATCCCTCAGTATTCAGTTCATACTCAGGGTTCTCCATCATTTAAGATATTACTGTGTTGCAGAGTTTACGCGAAGCACTAAAATTTCACGGTATTTTCGCGATCAAATTCGCAACTGAAACTGACTCATTATAATATCAAAAGAATACGTGCACACCCTTTTTTGTAAAATCGGTAATTCGGAACACAAATGGTTTGGTCGTACAAAAACACATGTTCTGATTAGCAAAGGAAATTCTGGTCGATACCGTCGAAGTACTCTACAATTTTTATAGTAAATTTGTCATGAGTACTAGTTAGTTTTCAAGATCGTATTACCGAACTACACAAAAAAGAAACTTCAGAACAGAAAAATACTTTAAGAGTTCCTTATTTGAACATGTTGAAAATTTTAAGCAATTCATTTACATCAATGACATGATTGATTGATTGTATATTGTTTAACGTCCCTCTTGAGAATTTTTCACTCATATGGAGACGTCACCGATGCCGGTGAAGGGCTTCAAATTTAGACCTATACTCGGCACTCAGGGCCATTGAGCAGTGAGGGTTCTTTATCGTGCCAACGCCTACCGTGACACGGGACCTACGTTTTTAAGGTCATATCCGAAAGACCCGTGACTTTCACTTCTAGTGCCGAGCGCTTGGCGAAGGAACAATCACTACCTTTGTTTACGTCTTAGGTATGCCGCGGCGCCGCGATCGAGAATCAAACCCGGCCTCCCGATCACGAAGCGAACGCTCTACCACTAGGCTACCGTGACCGGTCATCAATGACATGAAATAACTTCGGTACGATTTTATGGTTTACGTACAGTACTAAAATAATCTTACTGTAGAGTCGTGGTTCTTTAGAAAAACACACGTTTAAATATTAAAAAAAAATAATTCAATCTATTTTAATGCAACTACCAATTAACCGTTACATGGAAGTGTGAAAACAAATTATTTATCTTTGTTCCTTCATGCGTGAAGTCCGGCGAGGGTCTAGGAGATAATTGATTATGCATGGTGAAGCCCTAGTAATTAAGTGCTCCGCCGCTTAGAATTGAAAGACGGTTGAATTTTTTGATTAAAATCTCATTAAGTTAGAGAGAATTCATGTTTAGATATTCTAATTATCACATATCTTACTGTGTCGGCAAAATTTTTACTGTGTCGCAAGCATGAATTTGAATCGTTACTGTGTCGGAGAAAATTTTACTGTGTCGGGAGCAACACAAATTTGACACGCGTGTTGGGTTATCTAATCTATTAACAGAATGAAGAGAGGCTAAAACCGACCATAGAAAACATTTTTGATCAGCATTTTGTATGTTCAGTACAGCCTTTTTCTTGCAATTTTCGGTGGCAAGGGAAGATAACTGCTACCAGATAAAGGAACGTATTCTGCAGAGTTAACCTCCAATTTTAAAATCTTATCAATAGACCATCCACTGCCGTCCCTTTCAAAATTTTGATAACTAACATACAAATTTTTGTAAGCCTTAGCCAGCTGCTCTTTGATTTCTGCTCCATTTGTCAGTGTAAAATTGATAGATCTAAATGTCGGCTCAGCATAGACAGCCTCATTGTTTTCATTGTATTTGACAAATTTGACATACAAAGTCAGAAACCATTAGATACCTCGTTTTGACCACAGGGTAGTATGAAGAAGATATTGGATTGGATCACTGTTGTCTTTTAAAAATTGAAGAATGTCCCACAGATTACCCGGGTTTGGTTCCAGCACTTTCGTTTCCACCCCTCCATTCAATGCTTGCTTGCTTCCAGCACCAGATTGTGTACTCCATCTATGTCGTCTATTTACGCAGGAATCGCATACATCTGTTCGGTGACTGTAAAATCGTTCTGGTAAAGGTCGATGACACCAGTGGCATTCTCTACCATTCTCGGCGCATGAATGACAGAATTTTTCCCCATTTAATAAAGGTTTAATCTGGGTACACCAAATGCATTTCCCTGTAAACTCTGTACTCATCTCATTCCTTGTACTTTGCATAGGGATAACTGGAGGATTATTTTCTGCATCCTGTAACATATTTTCTTCGTAGCGCCGTCTTTTCATCTCTGACTGGTTTTCGTCTGTTTCATCAGCGTGGTTTGTTTGTTTTTGATCCGCCCTCCTTTTTTCTCCTTGTGTTTTGATATGTCGGGTAAAGTTGTCTTTCTTGTTGAATTTTGAATGACATATTGGACATACATTAGTATACGGCGTTCCGTGCATGATTCTCTGATGTCTATTTAAATGAGATTTCTGCTTGAAAGCTTTCCCGCAGTCATCACACCTGTGTTTGTCGTTCCGCTCCATCAGCGCGCAGGTTTACCTGGACAGATTTGTTTAATATAGACGTGTTAAACACGATAAGTCTTCTCTCTTTCAAGCTCAGCTAATAAATGACTGTCGGGATTAATTGCAATTCATATAATCTCATTCACCGGAAAGTCCACTTGTGCTATTTTTAACACAACATTGCACAATGGGGGTATTGCACAACAGGCTGAAGTAATTCATTGTTCAAATATTTTTAAATTATATAAAAAAAGAATGGTATTTTTTCTTTTATGAAGCTAGAGGATCTTCTTGTACAGATAAATAAAAGTTCCATCTATAAACAACACCACTCATTTACTGAATATACATTTTAAAGCATATCTAAAAATAGAAATTACACCACAGGTATATCGATCACGGAAATTCCCCTTTCTAAAAATACACTCCGTCCCTCGATTCCGTCCCTCGTCCCTCATGATGCAGAACTCTCATTTCCTATTCATCAGTGAGTGATCTTGAATGGCAACTTCAGTATGACCATAGAATGTTTATGTTTACTGAGTTCACACTTCTCTCGCGTTCGACCCTATTGGGATCTATGGACACAAAACTAAGAGCGCCACTCAATGTAACACAAACGCAGACATCCAAAATGTCCTGAACAAGAACTGCATACAGGTGTCCGGATGGTGGTTTCAATTGAATCATGTAAGTGATTAAGAACTTCGAGGATGGTCAGCTACAGTATCGTCTCTGTCCATAATCCTCACCACAGCCAGGAAGAAATCACCCCTTCCACCAACATGTAATTTGATGAAAGTCTCCACCTTTCCAAACGATTTGAACTACCTTATATGTATTGGATTCCGAAACTTCATAAGAATCCTTACAAACTAAGATACATTGCAGGTTCCAGTAAATGTTCAACCAAGCCTCTTTCGTTACTTCTCACTAAAATATAGACAGTAGTGAAGGAAAAACTTCAAGAGTACTGTACAACTATATATTCAAGAAGTGGTGTAAATCAGATGTGGATACTTAAAAATTCTAAAGAACTTTTGGACAATTTGAAATCACAAGACTTTACAAAAATCAACAGCATAAAAACTTACGACTTTTCAACTTTATACACAACAATTCCGCACGACAAATTAAAATCCAGGCTTTTTGATATCATTGACAGCTGCTTCTTCAACAAAAATGGAACTCGTAAGTTTACTTACCTCGTCATTGGTCATTTGAAAAATTATTTTGTTAAAACAGATTCTGATTGCACACATAAGTACTCTGAAGTTGACATCAAGAAGATGCTTGAGTTTCTGATTGACAATATCTATGTGGTTTTTGGAGACCAGGTATTCCAACAATCTATTGGAATTCCCATGGGTACAAATTGCGCTCCGTTATTAGCAGACTTATTTTTATATTCATATGAAGCAGATTTTATGCAAAATCTTTTGTGTGAAAAGAAAAAAAAAACACTTGCTGTGGCCTTCAACTCGACATTTAGATATATCGACGACGTATTGTCAATTAATAATGATAATTTCCATTCCTACGTCGACACGATATATCCTGGTGAGCTTCAGATAAAAGATACCACAGAGTCCGACACTTCTGCTTCATATTTGGATATTTTACTTGAAAAAGACACAAATGGTAATCTAACAACCAAGCTATATGATAACGTGATGACTTTAACTTTTCTATCGTCAACTTCCCTTACTTATGCAGCAATATACCTTCATCACTTGCATACGGAGTATTTATATCTCAGTTGATTCGATACGCAAGAGCATGCTCTACGTATGAACAATTTCTTAAACGAGGTAAATTATTGACAAGCAAGTTGATGAAACAAGAATATCAACAGTCTCGTTTAAAGTCATCATTTCGTAAATTCTATGGTCGATACAATGACCTTGTCAGCAAATACAATTTATCATTGAATGAAATGCTGACTGATGTTTTTCATACCAATTGTTAGTCCATTGTTGATACACTGAATTGACCACGGATTTTTTCCGTTATTTCCTGATTATGACAACGAGCACACGGCGGGTGTGACCGGTCGGCAGGGGATGCTCACTCCTCCATGGCACCTGATCCCACCTCTGATGTTCCGGAGGTCCGTGTTTGCTCTGCTCTTATTTTGTATATTTGTTTAATGGACGTTGAGATTGAACTGTTCGTTATTTCCATATCCTTCTTCCTTGAAACGTTTTATTGTATTGTTTCTCCTAGTGGTGGACTGAAAGTCAAGAAAAAGAAATACAAGTAGAAATATTCTTTACGTTGTACGTAGAAATCAACTGTAATTGCAGCAGTTAACTGACAGAGCATTGGAGTTATCTATGTCCCTTGAGAATTGGGCAAATGGGTAAGCCTGTTTGAATAAAAATAGCTCTTGTTGACTAGTTTAAGTTTTGAAATGAATTTGATGAAAAGTAATTAAAACTTATTTGATATTGCATAATAGACAAATCTGATATTATGTCAAATTATTAATTTAAAAACTAATTTTATGGGATGGGGTTGAATCAGCATGTCCATATGAATTACACACTAAAACCTGTCAGACATTAAATCTCAACCAAAAATAAAAAATCAGAGAGTATTTTATATGTTTTTAAAAAAAAATTATAGTAGATAGTGCAGACCAATTCATCTCTTGGTAGTAATGAGTAGACAAGCATCCAGTTAAAGATTAATTAATGAGTTCAATGTAGGAAGGCTAGCTGTCTCAGTTGCTTTGATTAAGCA